ATGTACTGAATACCAGTATTTGTCATGTAGACAAAAGGATAGCTGTACTAGGCTCTGCAGAAGCATATAGCAACTTTGATACATCCCCCTTCTGCCCAGAATTCCAAAAGTATCTTCCAGAGTCATCAATATTTTACAATAAGGAGACTGAGTCTTAGATATGAATTATCAAGCCAGTTCTTGTTTTAATTTTGTAACATACGTGGTGCTTACATGTGATTTTTGATTTTGGCCTGTGATTGTTTTTCTTATATACTTATATTACTGCTATTACAAGAATAGACTAGCAATCTTTCTGAGAAAAATACATCAACAGCGTGATAGTCACCAGGGTTCAAAGGTCCAGTATAATGGCTAAAATAGAAAAGGAAAGCCATCGCCTAAGAAATCTGTGTTTCTAGAATTTCAACCTGACACCACGAAATACAAATATAATACAGTCTGATGAGTAAATGAAGTTTTTGGTTCTTTTACAGTGCAAGTCATTTAAAGCTAGATATCCAAAAACATGGGGATAAATGTGTGAATCATAGACTTTCTTTATCCATATACATAAAAAATGCAAAAATACTTCATTTCTAATCTAGGCTTATACTGATGATAATGAGCTATAATGGCTCAAAAGATAGGGTTCATTGGCAAACAGACCAAATTTTCTATTTTCAATATGAAGAATTTTTGTTTGCCTTACACAAGAGAGTTATATTTAAAATCTACGGATGAAATGAGCTAAGAAGGAGTTAAACTTTAGATGCCTTCCCAATTGCCTTTTTAGAAAAGCTTTGCAATCAACAGTTCAAAAAGGCAATGGAGGGTCAGAGAATAAACTAGTAATCTGACAATTCTCCATAACTTAAAGGAATTTCGCTTTTATTTTATTTAGGTCCATTACAATATTTCTGTATGAGGGGACGGTGGGGCAGGCAGAGAGGCAGGTACAAATCTTGTTAACCATTCTAAAATGTCTATGTAACTGAAAAGCAGGCAATATAGTCTATTCAATTATTCTTCCTTCTTTTCTTTTCTTTTTTTTTAGAGTATGTTTTTATTGATTTTAGAGAGGAAGGGAGAGGGAGAGAGATAGAAACATCAATGATGAGAGAGAATCATTGATTGGCTGCCTCCTGTACAACCCCTACTGGGGATCGAGCCCGAACCCGGACATGTGCCCTTGACTGGAATCGAACCCAGGATGCTTGAGTCTACAGGCCAACACTCTATCCACTGAGCCAAACCAGCTAGAGCTCCCTTATTTTCTTATATGCCCTTATTTTCTTACTATCTTCACCTATTTTACAGATCAACACAAAGGTAGAAGAGCAATCCTTAAAACGCCACATATCAACTATTGGTTGTAGCTTTGACAAAGACTGATGCCGAAGAGGGTGAAACTTGCGTGTAAAACGGGACGTAGGATGTCTAACCTTGAACACAAATGCCGCTCACCTAAAAAATGGCCCAGTTGCTGCTCTTCCTACCAACACAATGTCAGAGGCCCCATAGCCACTGAAACCAAAAACTAACAGCACAAAACAAAGTAAATTAAAAGACATGGAGCTTCTAAAGAAAGCGTGGATTCAGTGGGGAGGGAAGAAAGCAGCTATGAGAACCCAAAGGTTGGGCCCCGGGCAGGTTGGGAACTCTCAGCCAAAAGGTGGTAATAAAACAATTCTTTCCCACATGACTGGATTTTTTTTTTTCTTGATGGGGTTGCTGCCCCAAATTCTAGTGTTTGGATTAACGTTTCCTCTTACAAAATTACAGACATCCCTAGAAAAGAAACTTACTGGCTATAAGTCATTTCCACTGGCATGAATTCCTTTTGTCAGATGGCTTCGCTCCCAAGTATGAATTTAAAGAAATGAGAAGAAAGCAGATGATTTTTAAATTGGGAGTCGTTTGGAGACTTACATGAGAACTGACTGTGTAATGGACGCAGGGATTGGGGAAGCAGCAGGACACAGAAAGTCAGTAGACAGGAATAAGAAAAAACAACTAAGGCAGAAATCCACATTCCCCGCACCCCCGCCCCTGCCCCCCGCCCCACCCCCACCCCCAGCCAAAGGTTGGCTACACCCCCATGAAGGTGAAAGTTTCTTTCCCTTCTTGTCTTTTCCTATTCCCTCTGACTTGCTTTTGCCACACTATAGAATGGGTAAAATCATTTTGTGTGAGTTGGGAAACCTGGACACTATGTATTTACAACACTTTCTGGAGAAAAATTAGTCCAGTTCCTAACAATTTTCAATTGAATTTACTGTATATGTAAGATTGAGGCAGAACCCAAATTTTGTAATGTCTCTCTGATAAGTAAAATAAATCTGAGGCATGTAACACAACTCAACCAAAATCAACATATCCAATCAACGCCTCCATCAAGTTCCTACGGAAGACTGTCACTTCAGTAAACCTGATGTCCTTCTCAACGTTTCTGGAAATCTTTGTTTATTGCTTGTTTTAACCTGTAGCAAACCCTTTGGCTAAAATGAGAGCTTACCTGAATTTTAAAATTAGGAAGATTACATGCAGCTAAAAGTTATTTGGATCTATGGTGAACAAAATCTTTATCAAACCTAGTAAAATAGTACTGGTTTTCATTTTTTAATCCACAACAATGTACAACAACGTTTGAATCGTGTGGTAAAAAAAAAAATTCTATCAAGTTTAACAAATTTATATTTGTGGTAAAGGAAATTCATAAACTGGTTCCAAAGGCTTTTACAGTGATACAGTCTGTGGTACACAAGAAAAATTTTTCTGGGTTCACACTACATTATATAGGTTTCTGTTTTACAAAGGCACACTAACATGTGTGTGAAAATGCTTATAAAGCATTTTGAAAAACACTTATAGGAGTTATTAATTTTAGTAAGTATTAATTTGTTGTTCTAATTCTAAGCTATCTTCCACTTTTTTCACAGATTAAAATAATATCTCTCAATTTATCTGGCTTATTTTTCTCCTCAAAATTTTTTTAAATATCATACCACTTTTGTTAGGAAATAACTTTTTTCCCCCCACTTGTATTTTTATGTTTAAATCCAGTTGTTTGGTGAGTTCTTCCTAGTATTAAATCTGCTATTATTTTTACCTTAATAGTTATTATATCTAAAAGAATCACTGAAGTTATTAAATAATTTTTATCTTGAAGTAGTTACAAGTTCCATAGTAAAGCAACAGAGACAAATCTTAATAATAAAATGTTTTTCCTTTAATATTATTTACCAGTCAAAATGCTTACAACTCTGCATTGTCACAAAAATAACCTGCATCAGAGGTATTGATTTGGGATTATCTATGAACACTGCAAGAATGTCAAAAAAGCCTATGTTTCTATTGGGATCCCTGTCTCTTTTCATTTATTTATATCCAACAGGTGATACAGTAACATTTCTAAATTTAACTCAAAAGAACAGAAGAAAACCTTGAGAAATGTACCCGTGGTTGTATTTATTATTCATGAACACAAACCACCTCATCCTTTAAAAATAAGTCACAACCTTTGACATTGTGACCAACAACAGAATTAGATTTTATAAGTAAATTGTAAGGCATGTGCATAAGTCTCATTTTGTTGGGTCACAGTGTTTTTTATAATTCTATGATCATTATTAATTGCTCTGCATAAGAGGGAGTCATTATATATATATTTTTTACTTGATTTCAGAGAGGAAGAGAGAGGGAGAGATAGAAACAGCAATGATGAGAGAGATCATTGGTTGGCTGCCTCCGGAACACGCCCTACTGGGTTACGAGCCACAGTCAGGGCATGTGCCCTTCACTGGAATTGAACCTGGGACCCTTCTGTCTGCAGGCTGGTGATCTATCCACTGAGCCACACCAGCTAGGGCATTATTATATATTTCTTAATGCTGCCATAATAAGCCTCCATGAAAAACACCTGCTAAGACATCAGTATCTTAAGAATGCAACTTCAATTGCAATGCCTTCTAACTACAGATGTGTAACTCCTTGCTTTAATTATTTTAATAATTCCTGTTTAACTCAAGGACACAAGCAGAATTAATATGAAGAATTTTACCTCCAATAACTTTGACTAACTGTTTTTTTTTCATGGAAGAAATGCTGGTTGCCTAAATAAATTTCTAAATAAACTGAGCAAAGCAGTAGGTAGACTACATGTCAATAACAATTCTACAAAGTGCATCCCCTGTAACAAACATTTGATAAACAAGATAGCTGTACTTCCTTTTGAATATCTAGCCAAAAATGCTTAAAATTATTTTGACTGGCAAGTTCAAAATATATTTGACTGCACCATAGAATCCATATGCAAACATGCCAAGAATTTATGAGTATTTAACCACTCACACACTACCAATGGTCAAATTTTTATTTTTCTCCTCTTCTTTGCACCCAGTTGATTTCAGAAGGGAATATTATCAGGATGCAAGGAAAAGGAAACCTAGAACAGTGGTGAAAGGTAAATAATTCCTTATTGGAAGATTTAGGTAATAAATAACTGTCACATAATCAAATTGGAAGCCCGACAGAAAATATTTAAGAAACCAAATAATATTAAGTGACAGCCTGATGGATGAGTTTAGCCTTTAGTTAAACTAATCTAGACAGGAACTACAATGTATCCATGAGACTATTTAATCGCATTAGAAAATGGGGAGAAAAATGAAAACACTGAGTCATAATGGTACAGCAAGCTTTGCAGAAAAGAAAGATGAATGGAATGCAAAAGCAGCTATCTGAAGAAATAATAAAATAGTCTCTAATAGTAACTTTACCTTGTCGTAGTCTAAATAAAATTCATTACCATAATATCATAATTTAACTTTTTTACATACAAGCAGAGATAAACTATTAGAAGCATAATTATAACTGTCAGCTACTTTAAATGGCACTTTATTTACTAATATACTTATGAGACTATGTATACTCACTGTAATCACAAATTAAAATATCCTGGAAAGTAAAAAAATAAATAAAAAATAGGGATTCATAGACCAGTGATTTTAAAACACTACCTTTTTTTCTTCTTCTTTTCTTTCCTTTTCAGCTTCTCTAAATCTTTCTTAGCTAGGTCTATAATTTCAATGGTCTCCTTGTCTGAGGAGAGTATAGCAGGAGAGAAAGATGATGGTCCACTGAAATACGGTGATCTTGCTGTGGCTCTTGTCAAGTTCTTCCGAAGGTTCTCATTTACCGCTTCACTTTCTAACAATTTTGCCCTAGTGAATAAAAACATATTTAAATAGGAAACATTTTTTATTGTGGGAAAAATACATCACATAAAATTTTCCACCCTAACCAGTTCTGCACCACCAAGTATATTAACACTGTTGTTGCAACCACTGTCAGTATCTATCTCCAGAACTTCATCTTCTCCAACTGAAACTCTGTACCCATGCAGCACGAACCCCTCATTCCCCTGTCTTCCCAGTCCCTGGCAGCCACCATTCTACTTTCTGCCTCCACGAAGTTGACTACAGCAGGAATACATAGGCATCTTAAATGAGTTGTATGCATGCTAAAAAAATATTTCCAAAATGTCTTTCAACATTGCTACAAGGTAGGTTTTGTTTTTAAATAAATGTGTCCACAAACATTAATGTGTAGGATATTTTTTAATTCCCTGGCTGTAAGATTACAAATTTGAAATCACACTCTTCATGCTCAAAAGTGCCAAGAGCAATTAGATTGCTTGCATTCTGGCCACTAGGCATTAGTTATCCTTGCTTTGCAAAGCCATCGTTTAAACTTAACCTACGCAAGCAGCATGGTTCCCAACCTTTCAGTTCCTCATTCATCAAGCTATAATAGCATTCCCAAATCTTTGCAAAGAACGGTTAGTCAAAGTTGCCCCTAACTGTCTGAGAGACATCTGGCTCCTGAATATGTCATGGGAAAAGATGATATCTCCAAGGAAACCTGAGTCTGATAATTGAAAGAATTCTTTTGTTTGCTCAAGTCATTCTACTAATGACAGGAGAATAATGAATGTCCTGTCAGTAATAGGCAAAACTACAGAATGATCCTGGATTTAAGACTAAAAGAGATTCAGAGAGTCCTCCAGGCCAGTCCCTTTATTTTGATTTGATAGAAACCATCAAGAACACAGTTCTCTACTTCAATATAATAGATTTCCAAGGACAATTGGCAAAGGTGACTGAGACAGGGCTGTAAAAAGAAAATGCTACTTACTACACTCTACCTCAAAACTGTAATACTAAGCACTTTTGCCATAAGTACAAATATTTCAGAGAAAAATGCTAGATTATTTGCAACTATTAAAGCTCTCAAAGGCATAGTCAGCTCAGTGTTTTTTTCATTACCTATCGAAATTATTCATGACACTGTTGAAACCAGCTAGAGACAGAGTGTATAGAAATCAATGAATATATGCTTCAAGTTAGTGTCCTACTAATTTTTAATGAAATTGTTTAATTATATATCTGGTGTCATATGTGAGCGGAAAAATATAATATTTTCAACTGGTTAAATAGCTATGTACAAACTTATAGGTTAAGTCTCTTCAAAATTATTTTAAAATCATAAATATAATAATGTCACTTTTAAAATAAGAAGGCAACTGAAGCCCTGACTGGTATGCTAAGTGGTTAGAGCATCGACTTGCACATCAAAAGGTCGTGGGTTTGATTTCCAGTCAATGGCACATACCTGGGTTGCAGGTTCAATCTCCCAGCCTCAGTTGGGGCATGTGTGGGAGTCAACCAATCAATGTGTCTTTCTCACATCAATGTTTCCTCTCTTTCTCTCTCCCTCACCTTCCACTCTCTCTAAACAATCTTTCTAAAAATCAATGAACAGAATATCCTCAGGTAAGGATTGACAAGAAAATACAAAAAAAGAAGGCAACCAAAGTATAAACACTCAGCTTAACTCAAAGTCAAAATTTATACTTTTCTGTATTTTCAATATCTATCACAAAGCTTGGGTGCATAATGATGAATATTTCAGATAAGTGAAAATATAATAAATGAACTGTCAATAATGATCTGTATTTTGATTGGCTGATTTATATAATAGTCAGACAACTTGTGTTTTTATTTTAAACTAGAGGCTCGGTGCATGAAATTCATGCACTTGGGGGGCGGGGAGAAGGGGACCCTCAGCCTGGATTGCGAGAGGGTGCAGGCCAAGCTGAGGGACCCCACTGGTGCACGATCGGGGCCGGGGAGGGATGCAGACGGTTGGCCAGCCAGGGAGAGATCGAGAGAGGGCTCCAGGGCATGTCCGGCCTGTCTCGCTCAGTCCTGATCGGCCAAAACCCAGAAGCAAGCTAACCTACCAGTTGGAGCATCTACACCCTAGTGGTCAGTTCATGTCATAGCAACTGGTCGACAGTTTGGCTGTCTGCCCCTTGGTGGTCAGTGCATGTCATAGCGAGTGGTTGAGTGGCCTTAGCATATCATTAGCATATTACGCTTTGATTGGTTGAACGAACGATTGGATGACCAGACACTTAGCATATTAGGCTTTTATTACATAGGAAGTTTGCATTTGGTAGGGGCATAGTCAATGCTTCTTCAATCTTGGTGCTGATTAAGGCTAAAACCTTTAGGGCTCATCTCCACAAATCCCATGCTACATTAGCAGGGCCTGATTTCTTTTTTATGGGCTGGAAAGAGAGAGCCTCTTTCCCTTCACACTCACCCACTCATCCACTAGTTGCTGCCTGCATTTCATTTAACAGGAGACTAAGCAGTGAGGCATGAAAGGAAGTACCCAGACTTCCCTGGGAAGGAGCTGGCTGAGGGCTTGCCTCTCAGCTCTGTTATTCACTAAATCTTGGACCATTCATCTCTAAAAGCCTCCACTGTTTCCTCTGTAAAATGGAGATGAAAAATATATACTTCCCTAGAATTATTGTGAGGATCAATGATACAATGAATTTAAAACTCACCTGACTGATAATGCATTTAACAAATAATAACTATTTTATCAAAAAGTTGCTAACAATATAATCATCTAACATAGAGGATTCGTTAAATCAATTAAAAACAGAAGAGAGTACTATACAAAACGGTGCAAGAATCATGTTAGAAAAACAGTAACATTTTTCAAATGCTCATAATAGCTAGTCAAATTTCAAAGAATAGATAGCAAAGCAATATATATATATATATATATATATATATATATATATGTTGAAAAAATATTGAAGAGATACACCAAATGTTAACCTTCGTTATAGAAATGGTAGGACTGTGGTTTTAATTTTGTTTATACTGTCTTATATTTTCAAAATTTTCTACAAAAAATATAAATCCCACCAAAATAAGAGTTGATTAATTAGTGACTATTATTATTTCACAAAAAATAATATGACATGTAAGTTATTAAAAGATAAGTGGTATTATTTTACAATTAGAATGATAGGACTTGAAATATATACATTTCCAAGTGACAATATATAAATTTGTGTTAAGAAGCTGTGAATAAATGTCTTCCTAAGACCAACTTTTGATAGAAGTATGAATTGGAGCAGGATTTAGTAAATAAAAGCAGAATGTGCGAACTTGGACGTAAGTACTGATCACATGTCAGATCCTTACAGTCCTTTTGAATTTAAGAACTTTTACATCCCGCGCTTTTATTTGAGCCCCATAATAACTCTTTGAAACTAGCAGGTATGACCTCATTCTTACAGATGAATTAAAGCTCAGAGATGTTAGGTAACTTTCCCAAGGACACACTCTTCTTAAGAAATAGCAGCTTACATTCCAAACCAAGGAATCCAATTTAAATCCAAAGCTCATTTATGCTTATCCCATGTGTAAATCATGTTTATGTTGTAAATTACAGTGCTGAGACTCTACAGGATTACTCCTCAGGAGTGGGGCACCCCTAATTAAAGAACCATCAAAGCAAAGTTGGGAAAGTGGAACAAGCTGCTCACCTACACCAAGAAAGATTTGATCACTGATTGATCTCTGTTCGCTAAATGGCTTAAAGAATGGTCTTGCCCTAGCCGGTTTTCTCAGTGGTTAGCGCATTGGCTCCCAGACTGAAAGGTCCTGGGTTTGATTCTGGTCGAGGGCAGGTACCTGGTCTGGGGGCCAATCCATGTGTCTCTCTCACATCGATGTTTCTCTCTCTCTCTCAGTCTCTCCCCCTCCCTTCCACTCTCTCTAAAACTCAATGGAAAAAAACATCCTCAGGTGAGGATTAACAAAAAACAAAGAATGGTCCTAACTCGAGAACTAGAAGGAAGATATTTAATGCTGCTTCAGTCACTGGGAGGAGTGGAAATGACCGCATCAGTCTTGTACGAAATAGTACCACTAGTGAAGCCATTTGTCCAATGGAGAGATCAAGCTTAGGTAAGGCCTTAGAATAACAGCGTGGAAGAGAGGAAACAGCACAATAACCAGAGCAGGGGATCAGCCTTCATTGTAGGCCAGTGCCGAGGAAATGAAAGAAAAGCAGGCTCGGAGCAGGAGGAGAATCTTCAGGAACTGAAAGGCAGATATCAGGTGTGTCTCAGGAGATGGTAAAGATGGGTGCTACAGGATGAAGAAAGACACATTTTGGGCAGTAGGCAGGAATGAGCACTGCCAACACAGGATGGAAATGCAGGCCCAGCTTGGAGGCTGACCAGAACCAGTACCCAGTGGCCCAATGGTCCCTGCCAAAAAGGTAAAGCTTGGAGACATGTCTACAGAAAAAAAGTAACAGTTAATAGAGTCACTCTATCTGTTGCCACATCAGATGTCTGCTCATTTGTTGTTTTTTTGCTTTTGAAACACTTAAGGGATCCAATGTGCCTAGTAGAAGCAAGAACAGTGGAAACATTACTCTTCTCTGTTTAAGAATTGTTAGAATAGCCCAGCCAGTACGGCTCAGTGGTTGAACGCTGACCTATGCACGAGGGGGGTCACAGTTCGATGCCTAGTCAGGGCACATGCCCAGAGCTCCATCCCCAGTAGGGGGTGTATAGGAGGCAGCCAATTGGTGATTCTCTCTCTCTCTCATCATTGATGTTTCTATCTTTCTCTCCCTCTCTCTGCCTCTGTGAAATCAATTAAAATATATTTTTTTTAAAGTTAAAAAAAAATCTCTAGAATAGTCAGAGGAAGAGAAAGGGAAAGAGAACACAAATACAAGATGGAGACGTGTTAGGGTAGCTGTGAAACATTTCCCGCTTGGTTATTTTCTGCAAATGTGTACAGAAATGAGATCTGAGCTACTTAGATGCTCCCCATGGAGCTGACTGTGGTTTTACTGCAAGAGAAAGTAGCTGAGCCATCAGGACAAACCACGGAACCTGAACATACTATAGAAACGATTAGTGTCCCTGACCTTCTTTTCAATCCCTATTCCCGCAGTCTGGGCTCAGGCGATGACATTCCTTTTACTGGTTTCTATCATTCCATTTACTACATGTAAGTTCTCCACCTAGACTGTGAACTCCTTGTTTATGTCACTTGCTCAGTCATGGCATGGTGCCTGATACATAATATAGTGAGCATTTGTAGTACGTGTGTGAAATGTGAGTGATGAATGAGCCTCTGTACCAGAGAGGCAGGCAAAGTGGTAGGGATGCAATGATTCACACATAAGGTGTAGCTGGAAAAGCAAAAGGGAACCGGAGTGATCAGAGATTTTTTAAAATTAGAGATGAGCCCTAGCCGATTTGGTTCAGTGGATAGAGGTCAGCCCGCAGACTAAAGGGTTCCGGGTTCAATTCTGATCAAGAGCATGTACCTCTCTCCCTCCTTTTCACCCTCTCTAAAAAAAAAAAAAAAAAAAAAAAAAAAAAAAAAAAAAAAAATCAATGAATAAATATCCTTGGGTGACAATAAAAAATTAGAGATGACTCATTGATGATGATGGTGAGGGAAGGCACTAAAGATCACTACATCCACATGCCTGTCCTGTGTGTCAGGTTAGGTAAGTTCCCATGAGGGTGTGACAACCAAAGCAGGAAGATAACATGGGGACATAATATGGGAAGAGATGGAAGGAAAGTTGTTTGGGAAGTGACATTATGGAAAGGCAAGTACCTATTCCCCTAAAGTTAATCTGACCAAAGGGCAGAAATATCACCGTGAACAATGATTAAACAGTAAACCCAACAGCTAGCGATATTACTGCACTGAAAACCCCAAAATGTGCATTATATCTTACAGACCATGAACTGTACCTGAGATCTTCAATTTCTTTGATATAACTGTGAATCATATTACTAATCTCCTCATTCCCTTCCCCTGCAAGATAAAACATGAAGTTCAGAATTTCCTTTAAATTAAAACTTCAACAAAACAGAATGGGAGAAAAACACTAAGTTACAGAAACAAAATAATAATGCTTTAAAAGACAAGTCCTACAGCCCATTTTCCACCCTTCACTACACAAGCAGACAGCAAGATAAAATAGCAAAGTAAAGGGCACATTTTGTTCCTGTAAGAATGTATTATTTACAAATTAAGCATTTAACTGAACATCATGGATTGTATATTTCTACTTCGTTGTACACAGATTGACATTTCTACTTCAAATGTTCGAGATAATGAATGAACACAAAGAATGTGCCCTGCTCTCCCGAGGTGCCCTTACTCGTCCCACCCGACAGGCTTACCTGCTCTGGCAAGAACCTGGTTGGCCTGATCACTGACAAGCTGGGTGATTCTGGTCCTCAGTGCATCAACCGTCTCCTGCATGGCTTTAATTCTGACACGCAGGTTGTTATTCTCAGTCTGTAGCATAGCATTCTCATGAAACATGTCATTGATGCTTTCCACTCCCTCCTCATCAATTATTCTTTTACCCTAGAAAAGAAAAAAGATGTACCTGTTGGTTGAGGAGCCTTAAATACACAAGAGATTTGTTTAAGGCTATCACAGGGCTATGAAGTTCTACAACCAAGAGCCCTTTGTCTCAACAGCCTCAAGGAAAAAGTGATCCTTTTGCTCTACAGCATCCCTCCGTGGCAGTTCTGTCACTGAAGAAATTGATTGAGCACTGGCCGGTGTGGCTCAGTTGGTTGGAGTGTTCTTTGGGGTTGTGGGTTCCATTCCCAGTCCGGGCACATACCTCGGTTGCAGTCAGGCCTGTTCAGGAGGCAACCGATGGATGTTTCTCCCCCTTCTTCCCTCTCCAAAATCAATTTAAAAAATAATAATAAATTGATTGATTAAATAGGAAGCCTTTTGAAACAGGTTGATAGATAGACTAACCATCATTAAAGGCTACCCACAAGGAAAACTAGAGAATTCGACCTTCAAAAGGAAGGAGACCACTATCATGACAGACAGGAGGCTCCAGAAAAACACGCGTGCAAGGCAACACAAAAGGCATCACTGTGTTCACAAAATGTTATCACAAAATGCAAAGTCAAACCCAGTAGCTTACTGTTTTGTACTCCATGAGCTCCATCTGCAGCCGTGTGATCTCACTGCGGAGTGCATTGATCTGCTGACTAGCTCTGTCCTGATTGACCATCACCTTGTTCTTGATATTTCTAGCTCGATTGGCGTATTTGAGGGTATTTAAAGTTTCCATAAAATCTCTGTCTGAAGGGCTGACGCATGCTATCATGATTGTTTGGCTGAAAGTGACAAAGAAGAATTTGGTTTACAGATAAAGCAAATAAAACACTGCAATAATCACTTTTTAAATTCCTGCCTTTTGAATAATATCTTCTCTTTGAGATACCAAAATATTGAAACTGATAACTTAAAAATAAAAGCAAATGTAAAAGCCCCTATGCTTTGCGACTATCTTAAAGAAAATTAACATATATTACCCTTCTTTGATCCACAATGTTTTGAGAAAGTATAATAAGTACATATATTTATTTCTCACCTCTTTACAAAAAAAGAGTTGAGGCAATGCACACAGAATAATTCTAAAACTTAATCTACTTATGTTCCAAACTGAAATTCAAAAATCATTTCTTTCATTATCTACTTAATATTTGAGGATTTAAACTTTTTTCTTTTTATTTAATCACTCATAACCTGATTTTTGTTGTCAGCAAAAATTTCACACTAAAATCCTATCACCTGAACAAGTGTATAGTATATCCATATGCTATAAGAAACATCATTTGTGATTGACTGGTCAAAGTTCAGGCCAGATTACACAGGAGAGATGGGAAACTTTACTTTACAGTAATGATGAATGATGAATTGCTTTACCAACCAAAGAATAGAATAGTAAAATGTCCCAGCTATTATGTCTGTCAATGAAACAGACAAGGACATTCTAATGGGCACTGACGCTGAAAGAACGAATTTACCCACCTCAGTAGGGAATTCATGCCCATCAGTTCTAATCAATCACCTCCTAGTCTCCTGCTTCCACTCCGGCCTTCTGCCTTCCCCCAATAATTTCAACACAGCATCCTAGTAACCCTTTTAAAAGACATCCCATTCCACTCATCTTTTTCCCTTTATTGACTGTTGTTCATCCTTATTTATCCTCACTCTTATTATTATTCAAGGCTCTACTCAAGTATCATCTCATCCAAGAATCCAACCCTCATCTGACTGTACTTTTTCTCTCTGCTTCCTCATATCCCTTGCATATCTCTTTTTTATTGGTTATATTATTATTATTATTATTTTGAAATTTAATAGATGCCAGCTCTTATACCCTAAACTCTAGGGGTTAAGAACCATCAACTTTTATTTATCAGTATATTTTGCATAACACAATATTTGGAACATACTAGGCCCTTAATAATTGTTTGTGGAGTATGTCATGTGCACATATTTATTTATTGGACATCTGAAAGTTAAGATAATTTATGCACCTCTAGTTCTCTTTTGATGAAGAAGATAAGGTAATCAAGTAAGAGTAATGGTTATAGACACTGTTTAGAGAACAGGACTACTCAAGTATAGACCCCAGTCCAATGCCAGTCTGCAAACTATTTGAAAACAGTTCATAATAAGTATAGAAATGAAAAATAAGTGTCTTAAAATTTTGCAACATTTGAGATTGCTGTAATCAATGAACTCACTGAATAGAGTATAGATCAGTTCCAGTGTTTTTGAATTCACATGGTAAGTCACAAATGGGGCAAGCTGAGTACAGTCGTGCACAATATTAACCCTCCACAAATTTGGGGTGGAGGAGGAAAAGAACTTGTCCTTGAAAAGCATTGGGATCAAGTGCTTAAGGAGAATGGGGCAAGTCAAGAATGAGAGGTGCTAAGATCTATTATACAGGGAAATGGTCATTAAATAAAATCCAAAAGATACATATTCAAAAATGGTTGTGTTTATGAAAAGCACAAAAGAAAACATTAAAGTTGTTTACTTTTAAAGTTTATATAAAGCCACATATCTGTCTTAAACGAAACCATACCATTTATATTATTATGTTATATATCATATATTATTATATCATATACCATATTATATTATGCATTAGGGAGGAAATGCATTGCAATGTTAACAGAGTTACTTGTAAGTAGTAGAAATGTAACTGATTTTTCTCATGCTTTATATTTTTCTGCACTTTTCAGAATTTTTGCTATAATCTTGTTATAACTTTATAAATGTATAAAATCCAGCTTCACTTTTAAAAATAAAAGTCACCAGACTGTGCACAAAAATATATGCAGCTTGTGTCCAAAAATATCTTTGATCTAATTTTTCTTTTAAGATAATTTATACAAATGTCACAAAATGAAGGTCTTCTATTCCCCAAAGCTTATACAAAGTGCAATGCTTTTAAGTTGAGTTCAGTCTTAGAATTTTAAGCAGGAATTGATGCTCAATAAAGAGGTCTTCTTGTTTGAAGAGTTACCAGCTAGTTAGGAAATGGGTGAGAAGAACCTGAGATTGTTTAGCTTGAAAACACTGAAATAGACTCTATTAACCGTAAAAGAATAAATAAAAATGTAACAGCTATCTAAAACTTTCTGAACTGTACTGTTTGAATTTAAATGCCAAAAATGTTTCTACTCATAAAGCCAATGTGTTGATGTTTATAAAAAGGAATGCATTACAAAATCATGTGTTTAGCTGATTAAATATCAGAATAATTCAAAATATGAAAAGGGAGGGAATATCAGTGATGCTGACAAAGTTCATAAACAGCAAATACCCTATATTTCATTCAACTGACATTTTTAAAAGTTTTTCCACATGCAAAAAAAAAGTTTAACTTTTAGGAGACTTTGTAAAATAGTATAAAGCATATTTAGATTACTTTGTGTTTACTTAGACCACATTTATTTTCCAACAAAATTGTATTAGGCATATGCTACGTGACAAGCACTTAAGCAGAAACAATGATAAAGTGGAAAGAGCACGTGCAATGGACTTCATTTACAAGCTAAGTGACTGTGAATCAATGACTCTCTGAATTTCAATTTTCTTATCTACAAAATAGGAATAATAATACCTAGTTCAAGGGAGGTTGTAAGGACTATGTGAAGGAACAACACAGAAAGCCTCACACATTTTAGGTAGTTAATAATTATTAGTTCCTCATCCTATCCATTTGCTTTATAATAAAACCAGTTTTCATAAGTTGCTTTACAAACTTACATTAATAATAATGGGTAACTGAAATTCACAAATACGGACAATCACGTATGCATACCTGTTACCCCCGAGGGAATCCTGGAGCAGTCTTGTCAGCTTAGAATCTCTGTAGGGGACATGGGTGGCCCTCTTGCTCTTGTCTCCCAATGCACTTATTACATTGCCAAGTGCCAACTAAAAGAGAAAGACAGGAAAATGATAAAAATGTACTAATTATAACCCTTTTAAATAACCAAGGCTTATAGAGAATAGTATGGAGACATGACAGAATTGAAAACATTCAGGTCTGGGTGTGTGTTTTTTTGCATTTATATTTTGAAGTATGACCTAAACCTCAAAGTTTTCTCTATTAACTATTAAAAACTGACAGGAAATTTGACTAAAACTGACTCAAAATTTAGTACTACATATATTCATAATTCACAAATACTTCTATTCAGAAATTTTCTTTAGAAATAAATAAAGATTGGTGACTTTTAACCATCCCTAGAACTATCAGACCATCAGGTTGTGTCCCCAGAAAACTGTCAATTCATGTTGCAAATTCTTCTCCTCCACTCAATGAAGAAATAAAATGTTTACGTAGTTCAACAGTTTCATAACACTATCTTGTTGAAATACAGCTACCTTGTGGGAAAACAAACGCTCCTTTAACCAATATAAACATATCACTATGATTCCTCTGAAAAAGGTATTCCTAATGTAAGTACGGCTGTCTTTAGAAACACAATGACTCTATGAGCTAAGCATCCAATATTGAAAGGAAGTATGTCAAATCACAGAACTCTTTAGTCACTCCTCCTGCCACCCCTACTGCCTTTCTTGCTGTCACTGAACTAGCCCCCACAGCATAAGCATTAGCCTACATGTGGGTCACACTTCCCTTCAGTGATGCAAACATCTCTTCCCATGTCTTTGTTAGGGCCAACGTAGCATGGCATCCGCATCACACTGTCTCCTTGCCCCTCTCTCCCAGAGAGGCTACAATTTGAACTACTGGCCGCACTGAAACTTGACCAGATATAGCTGAACATGCTTCAGTAGCCTAACCAGGAAAACAGACCAGTGGCTTTTGTCTTTTCCTGATAGAACAAATGTAAATACCACCATTATTTTATCTCCTAAAAAATTCAGAACAATACACAAAATTCAGGACCCAGGTCACTCCCTTAAACACAAAATTCAACCATATGGTGGGAGCATCAAGATGGGTATCAAGATGGAGTTGGGAGGTCTGGCTCTGTCTAATCAGTCTCAATTGTCAGTTCCCCCACAGAAGGGTTGTCATCATCCAGGAGCAAATATTGGGCAATGGCAAAATAGGGACATGTGATCGGAGGCCCCAGCTCTAGGGAGGGAAGCAAAGCAGAAAACACTTGCCCTGATGCTGTGAGCATCACAGAAGTATGTCATTACATTTATATAGGAGCAAATGTCCAATTTTATAATGAAGTCAATAAGAAGAAAAGATTTATTACACAAAAAGTTACTCTAAAAGTTTTTTCTTCCAACCCTGGCCAGTGTGGCTCAGTCGTTGAGCGCCATCCCATGCATCAAAAGATTGCCGGTTGCTTCCCAGTCAGGGCACATGCCCGGGCTGCAGGCTCGATCCCCAGTAGAGGGCGTGCCGGAAGGCCCCTTTCCTTTCCTCCTCTCCTTTCCTTCCATATAACAGAGACTTTATGCTAATAAACACAAGGTGTTTTCCAATAAAAAGCACCACTAGGTGGCAGGGTATTAAAGTTAATTCCTATTACGATCTAAAAAGTTCTCGTTTTGAAAAAATCTCCTAAAAAACATTGATTATAGTTCCCAAAATAAAGCGACTGTCACAAAATGTGAGCAAAAAAATGTTACTTTGAAAGTCATCCTGTGCCATAATAAAAATTAAATGTTGATATTGACGAAATGTTTTTAAATGTGGAATTTTGTAACTCCCTTCCACAATATATACTATTTTCTGAACATATCATAAATTTTAATCCAACTAAATTTACATACATGAAGAGAATTTGAAATGTGAAAGACTAAAAAATCATGAGGAGATCAAAATTTGGTGCATTATGCCTAAGCTTACGAGTTTATTGTAACTCTCATTTCTCAGCTTAGTGCATGAAGACTTTCCACTTGCGTATTAAGTATTACAAAAGAGAAAAGAACAATGGAACATCTCTGAGGTATTCTCAGCACACAGCCTCGGTCTTAGTCTTACGAGTCCACAGTTGATGGAAATGCCTTCTTTTGCCCTCTCGCCTGTGGCTCCAGTTCGCTTCAGTCTTTCTGATCCTGCCAGATCAACAAAATGGAACTTTGCAGTCAGGGTTTCAAATTCATTCATCTGTGATGATTCAGAAATCACCTTGTTATCAGTAGCATTTTCCTGCAATTGAGGACAATAATTGAAAATATTTTTATTAATGTGACACTAAATATCTTCTAACCCCTTTACACACACACACACACACACACACACACACACGCACACAGAGGCATATAGCCAAATAATTATAAATGCAAAAATGTCTGCTGGCATTAGAAGCTTACAACAAAATCAGAAAGAAACTTGACAGTCAGAACCCAGGTGTTATGAACTAAGATTTTGCTTATATTAATAAAAGAATACCTATAGCACACAGTCCTCAAAAGCAAAGCATCTCGGGTGACTACCTCCATCACCACATGGCCACAGCTTACTTTCCGGCTGCCGTAGACACATATCCAAACATTTATTTCAAAACCTTACACAGTTAGCCAGCTTCAGCTTAAACAGGATCAGAGACATCTCATTGGGAAACAAACTAAATGTGGTTCAAATGTACTCTTCTCCTGGGATTTATGTGATTTTAGGGAAAAGATGACTGAAAGTTTAAGAAATCAGAACTAGTGCCCTAGCCAGTTTGGCTCAGTGGATAGAGCGTCGGCCTGCGGACTGAAGGGTCCTGGGTTCGATTCCGGTCAAGGGCATGTGCCTTGGTTGCGGGCACATCCCCAGTGGGGGGTGTGCAGGAGGCAGCTGATTGATGTTTCTCTCTCATCGATGTTTCTAGCTCTCTGTCCCTCTCCCTTCCTCTCTAAAAAAATCAATAAAATATATTTTTTTTTAAAAAAGAAATCAGAACTAGTAACTCACAGCATCTATTTGGGGACACATTCGGGTTTGACACAAGTGGATGGTAAAAATGGCATGTGAGCGAGAGCTCTGAACATTCATCTGCGTGCTAGCTGTGGTCCGGGATAAAGCACCCAGCTTCAAACACTGCATCATCTGGAAAAGGGGAAGAAAGAACAATGTTTAAGCAAGATACCATACAATCAGAAGTCTGAGCTAACGCTAAAACCCACTATGTTGAGGGATGTAAAGGATGTGGAATTTCATATTATTTTAGTTACATGCACTTTTTGAGCTGAACTTCTCAGTATAATAGCGTATTATCTTTTAAATAGGAGAAAACACTGAGATTCCATTGTTTGCCTTTTGCTGACATTTGCAGCTTTTATTCCAAACTGTTACAGTGGAACACTTGGGAACAAACTGAGCAAAATCTTGAATTACTCAGGCTACTCTGTATCGTCTGTCAAAATATTTTTGTAACTTTTCTTAACAGTCCCCCTTTAGGAGCCATGGTAAAATCCTATATATGTGAAGGCAAAAGGTGCAAAAGGATTGTGGTCCCAGCCTTCACCTTTAATGACAGAACTCTCTTTTCCTAGCTGTGAAAGAAAACTATATATACATTGCCTTGGACTCTTTTGATGCTACAATAAATGAATTGACTTTATCATAGCTGTGACATTTTTAAGAATAACATCCTGATATAAAATATATGAGGAAAAAAGGCAAGATTTTTACAAGATGTTACATCTAAAAATACAAATTTAAGAATTTGATCTTAAGCAAACTATAAGCAAAGCTGAATATTAAATAAAGCCAAATATGCCCTATTTTAACTATAATATGAATATCACCTCTGATTCTGTATTCACAGTACGTGTTGTAACTCCCACAGTATAAATTCCTCCAGTTGAATCTTCATGAATTCTTATATTTGATTTTTTATTTTTTGCATCAATATCACGTGTGGTATCAAATAAGTCAAGGACCTCTTCATTGTACAGCTATCAAAAAGAAATATTGCAGGTTTACATTTAGAAGAAATTGCCTCATGGCTTAACAACATGTAGTGCATAATGTTATCTTTCAAATATATCTTTAAAGTTCTTCAAAATGACATATATTTCTTCAAAATAGGTAAAAAATGAAAGAGGCAATTATTATTACAAATTCAAATGAATGTCAGGTTTCTTTATAAGAGTATGAACAGTAAAGAATGTATTCATGACTGATAAGTTGAAAGCTAGCTAAAATGATCTATTAATCCTTTGCAAGTGATAAATATCTATATATATAAAAAGCCAGTGACCGAAATGCTGTAATGACCATAATGACCGGTCATTATGATGCCCACTGTGGCCAGTGAGCCGGCCTGATTGAGGGGTGGGGCCGGCCAGCCAACCTCCTGTGGCCCCTCCCCCTGGAGGCCCCACCCCAGATCTTTCGCACCTCCCCCCAGCCAGCTCCACCCCCAATCGGCCCCCCCACACCAATTGGGGGTAAGGCCCACCGGCCAATCGCCTTTGGCCCCTCCCCCCAGCCAGCCTGGCCCTGATCGGGCCCTCATCAGGGCAGGCTGGCCGGCCAACCTCCCTCCTTCTCCTCCTCCCAACAGGCCCGGCCCCTATCCACTCCAATTGGGGCTGGGCCAGCCGGACCCCAATGGTGCACGAATTCATGCACTGAGCCTCTAGTTTATAAATATAAGCAAACTCTAAGAAATATGTACCAAATGTAGACAAATCCTAATTAAAATTTTAAGAGGTTTTACTACTTAAGCTAAAATATATATTTCTTATTGCCCTACAGCCTTTCTTAATGTATCTAAAAATTAATACTTAATGTTTTGCAAGGTGGGCAATGATATTAGTGTTTCTGTGTCAATAGAGGCTGACAAGATTGAGCTACTCCTTGGAAGAGGATGCACACACCATTTTTCTATCAGTATGCTTTAAAGTCTCAATGCCCAACAACATTTTGGAGAGTAAAAGGGAAGATGGAAGAACTTTTTTTTTCTTTTTCCATCAGTTACTTATCTTGCTTTGGTTTTTACTAAACTGGGATGGCTATTAAAATCAGCAGTAAGATAACTGCTGTTAATTTGAATTGTTTTCTATTTTGTGCTGTATAATGTCAAATAAAATGTTTCATCAATGACCAAATATTAGTTGAGGTTATCCAGACTAGAATTAAACTAGAACATTCTTTGAACGAAGCACCCAGAATTATAATGTCACCCACCATTCACCTAACTGCAATATTGCTCATATCCGATTGTCACGTCCCTCCCACCAGACTACACTGACCTAAATGAATCCAAACCTGCCCCAACCTTTGGACTTTGCATCAAAACATCTGCCTATCCTTGTAGGAATACCAGCTTCTGCAGCCAGACTAGTGCTGCAGCCTTAGTCCTATTATTCCTCATGTTCTCTCCCTCCCTTTCAGTCTTAATCACTGAGTTTCCAGCACTTTGTGAGCCTACCTACATTATAACAGTAATTATAGGTAGGGTGCAGAGAGATTCTGAAATAAACAATATTAATTCTTTTACTCTATGGACACTGGCCAAGTGTTTATAATCTTAAAAGCCAACAAGTAAGGAATACTTATCTATTGTCTATTCTTCCTGCTACCTATGACCTAATGTTCATTTACTCAAACATTTATTGAGCACTCTCTGCAAAACACTGTACCAGAAGCCAGAAGCATAAAATCATAAAGTCTATAGTCTCAAGGACAAAATTTAAAATAAACGAATGACACAATTAGTTCTTTACCTCTAAGAATTGTGCATTCACTTTAAAATCTGGAGGAGGAAGCCCATTTTTCATTGCGGTGTGTTTTTTTTCTTCAATGCTCTTGAAAAGGTGTTTAACAGCACGAGAAATAATACCCTGTTCTTCCTCGATGATGTTCACATCAAATCCTGTTCCCATGGTGTATGTTTTACCAGCTCCAGTCTGAATAAAGCAATAGAGAAAAATATGTGCTTGCTCATAATAACATAACCTCAAAGAACAAAAATGAAAGTGCAACTGAATTGAGACTTCTGAACAGTTACAACTCTATGAAAATAATTTGGTACTTACTTGTCCGTAAGCAAAGACTGTAGCATTGTATCCTTCAAAACAACCTTCAATTAGTTTCTCTATGCAATGAGTGTAGATCTGTTCTTGCTGGGAGTCAATGTCAAACACATAATCAAAAGTAAAGGCTTTGTCTTTCCCTAGGAAGACCTGCGGTTCTCCTGGTGTGACCGATGTACAAATATGGCATCCTTCAATCTTTTCTTTGGCAAGTTGTGGTCTTATTCTGTGAGAAATAGTCAAGAAAAAATAAAAGAAGATATAATAAATTGAAGAAAAAAACCTAAGAAATAGGACAAAAATTTTTGGCCAAATTTTTTTAAAAACACTAATGTAATCCATGCCTGCTTCTTCTGTTGAAAAGTTTAAATAAATTATACTGAGTCCATTTCAGTGTCAGTTACTTAGCAATACCAAAAATCATGAACAAGAGTAAGTTAAATAAACATATTTTGTGGGTGAATATGTTTCCTCAACTCTGTAAGAGGTAAAAGACTCAGTTAAATAATTCTGCTACCAAAATCCTCTTTGTTGCTAGAGTTATTTTTCTTATTTCCAAGATGGATGATACCTGGATGCCCTTTACTCGCCTGTGTTTTTTTTAACTGAATTCATGACGTTGGTTCACAAAACCATACAGGTTTCAAGTGTACAACTCAACAAAACCTCATCTGCGCACTGTTCCGTGCACCCATCGCCCCAAGCAAGGTCTCTTCACCAGTGGTTTCCAAACTTGTTTGAACACATCCTTCTGTCAGCTTAATGTGTTTACGCATATTCCCACAACATATGTGTATGTGTATTCATTTGCAAATGATATGCATGTACGATATTGAGTTGCCATATAGTATGGCATACACAAAAAGCAGATTTTATTTAAAATTAAAAATAAAAACAAATTTCTCAAATTTACTACAAAATAAATACAGTATTTTCTCTCCAAAACCCATGAATCACCAGGTACAGCTCCTCGGGCTTCCTGACTGCACTTGGAAGAACATAGCACCCAACCCCCACCTCGATCTACTCGAGTCTTCCTCTTCTGCCTCTCTTCCTAATGCCAAGGCCTATTTTTATTTTCAAAGAAGGACAGTAAATACAATATGTGAACAGAATAACCCAAAATCTGGCCCTCTTCTATTCATGCTGTAAACAGGACCATCCTGAACACACCCATCAGTGACTTCCTGTACCTGGGTTTTTAAGAAGTTTCTATTTGCCACGGAGGAGAAGCAGTTTAAGAAAGAAAGGAAAGACAACCAGTGATGGAAAATATGAAATGATAAAGACAGAGCAAAGAAAGTATTTTAAAGGATTCTGGTCCCACATTTTAATTTTTTCAGATATGGAAACAGGCCCATGGAAGTAGAACCAGTTCACCTATTTTTCAGAGTTAAAGTCAAGCCTACGCCCAGATCTCCTGAGTTTCAGCCCCTTCCGCTTCATCAGGATGAATGGTCAATGGAAGGATAGGAAAGACAATACTGAGAAGGGACTAGACATCTGCAACCCTGGTTATCTAAAACAGTATTCTATACTGCCAAAAAATGAATATATTTGTTAATGCAATTTTCTCTTTCCTCTAGGATAATGGTGTTTTTCTTTTATAAAGTCTTTAACTTCGTGTATTTGTTGTAATGGGATGCAATGCTCATTGTGGAGCTAGCTAGGTACAATGGAAAGAGCAATGGAGTGGCCGCTAGGAGACCTGGGTTCTGTGACTTTTGTTCCTCTAAAGATAACACATGGTCTTCTCTCAGAGTTCCAGTCTTCTCACTTGTGGAGAGAAAGGGTCATTTCCAAGTTTCCTTTTATATCTAATACTATTTGACTTCAGAATAGTTTATTATAAAAAGGAGAGAGAAAAAATAATATTTATGCACTGTTATACAGATTAAATATTTAAATACATATATATAACAAAGGGTTTCTTATAAGGAGCTATGTTGTGAACTATAAAAACAGTCCATGGTAGTAGCAACTTTAGCTTTCTGGTTCCACATTTCCTGTCTTTCTCAAAATTAATATTCTCTTCTTTCCAAACTCCTCTGCTCCTATCTCACTCCATCCAGCCAAGGGGAGGAAACCCAAACAAACCCCATCTCCTCGGGGGAATCACTGTTCCGACTGTTGCCAAGTCAGAAACAGGAGAGTCAACCTCAATGACTCCCTCTCCTGCTCCATCCATCTAATCTGTCTGCAAGAGCTATTACTAATTATCTCTGAAATCGCTCTCGAGCCCACACATTTCTCTCCTTCCTCACCAACACCACCCTTATCAAAGCTACCATTATCTCTTACTTGGATTATTGCAAAAGTCTCCTCAGTAGTCATCTAGTCTTGGCCCCCTGACCTGTTCCACACCCTGTGATATTAGTGATATTTATAAAATATGAAGTTGGTCAGGTAACTATTTTACTTAAAACCCTTCAGTAAGTCCCTAAATCTCTCTGCAGCCTCTCCTCTTGCCATGCTCCATGCTTTCATGAAAAGGATTTTTGGTGGTGACGATTTCTTTTAAACCAGTTTCACTAACAAGGTATGCTCTCTTTGGCCTCTATGTCTTAAAATATGCAGTTCTCTGTTCCTGGCTTACTCTTCTCCACCCTCTCAATTCCCAACTCCTTCTCCAACCTGAACATCTCATGTTTACAATCTCTGTTTAGATTTCACTTCTTTGAGAAGATACCACGAATGGTTTGCATTCCAACATAAAGTCATATCTGAGCCCAGGCTGTTCTCTTTCCTGAAAGCTACTACATTTACCCCAGGATTCTGCTTTCTCCCTGCTTGACAAATAGCTTTACTATGAAGCTTAATAAATCCCATGTAATAAGACAGATTAAAATAGATATGCTATCTAAATGAAAAGTTTGAAATCAGTTCTGTATGAATTTTAAGTAGTTATAACCATAGGCTAACTTATTTGGCTAAGATACTTTCTTTTTTGTTGTTGCTAAATTATCACCTGAGGATATTTTTTTTCCATTGAATTTTAGAGAGCATGGAAGGGAGAGAGGGAAAAAGGGAGGGGAAAAGAAAGGAAGGAAAGAGAGAGGGAAACATTGATGAGAGAGAGATACATTGATTGGTTGCCTCCCCCGCTCGACCGGGGCCAGAATGGAACCTGCAACCCAGGTATGTGTCCCCTTGACCAGGAATCAAACCTGAGACCCTTTGGTGTGCAGGCCACCACTCTAACCATTGAGCACACCGGTCAGGGTTTGGCTGAGATACTTTCAATTTCATTTCAACAGAACAAAGAATAGTTGCCACTTGAACTGCAGATATAACAGCCAATTTAGAACTTAATCTCATTCAGAACTTAATCTCCTAACCTCCATTCATCTGACTTATAATCCTTGCTAATGGGGAGGAGTTTGCGTTTGAAGCAATGATGTGCAATTCCATCCATTTGCATGGGCAGGGAGAGAGAATGGCTTTAAAAACCAACAAGATGGGCAGAATCCTTTTCTACCGCAACCAGGCAATGGCAGTTGCCCAGCAGGTCTGACACACTCCCACCTAAGAGGGGATGGTCTCCCCTACATGCATATAACTGGAAGCTGACTATACTTCAAAGTTTAGGACTATATTCACTTTTTCAATTCCCCTTCAAAAATTAGCATGTTAAACTCTCCAAATACCTACACTTATACTCCAGTCAAGAATTCTCAGATGAAATTCTAATCCAACCCAAATCACCTGTTTTAATAATGTAAGGAGTTTATACAGCTACAAACCTCAATTTCAAAACTATAATTTGAGCTTATGTGTAGACAAAATACACCAACGCTTCTCAGAAAGAGAAAACTAAAAATCAAATCAGACATGTATTGCTCTAAATACTTTGAGATACACTCTTAATATTTTTACATAAAAATAAGAACATTAAAAACACCTAATCCCAACACTAAGAAATAATCAGTGTTAACATTTTGGCTAACATCAACACCAAGAAATAAAGAAAAATCCTTGCAGGCTTTTTAAATGTGTAATCATACAACTAGGTATATTCGACTGTTTCTTGAAAAAAAACAATCATGCATAAAACTTATGTCATAAATATTTAGGATAGCATTCTAATATTACATAGAAAAATTACATTGTCGCCTGACCAGTGTTGTTCAGTGGTTGAGCATTGACCCATGCACCAGTAGGTCACTGGTTTGATTCTTGGTCAGAGTACATGCCTGGGTTGCGGGCTCAATCCCCAGCAGGGAGTGTGCAGGAGGCAGCCGATCAATGTTGATGTTTCCCTCTCATCAATGTTTCTATATCTCTCTCTCTCTCCTCTCCCTTTCTTTCTCTTTAAGAATCAATAAAAATATATTTTTAAAAATTATATTATAAAGGACAACAACAATGGGGGTTCTATCTATCATATGAACTTGCTAATAGAGATGGGTTTTTGAAAAATGACACATTGGAAATGAATGTAGGCAGGGTGAGGCTGTTATGGAAAATAGTGACAGTTTTGCTAGAGAATGTGCTTTTTTTATTAGCATGAGGTATGGAACCTTTTATCCTTTGTGGGCCATTGACCAATGGGATGGGATCTGAAAGGAAAAGCCCATGGAAAGCCATACAGGAAAAAAAATCTGTTAAAACAGTCTGTGAAGGTTGAAAGTTTGAAACAGAACATGACTTGAGCTGTCAATTATTCAGTTTTATGATGAGAGGAGATGAACAAAGGTTGTGTCCATTTTCTCACATCTGAATCGTTCCCTCAGTCTATAGCACCCATTCCGCCTGCTCTCACACTCCAGCGAAACTGCTCAGGCAGAAGGCACCAACGACCTTTCTATCTCCAAATAGATTAGACCCTTTTTGGGCTTCATCCCACCTGATCTCTCCTAAGCACTTGATCCTATTTACAACTTGTAAAGGAGAAAAAACTTTTCCCTCTACCCTCCCAGGCTCTCCCGTAAATTAGACTGACAGAAGATTAACAAACAAAAACAAACTGAGGTTTATCAATATGAAGTTTATTAACACGCATACACATAGGAATGAGTGATGAGCAACTCAGAGGGTGGTTAGAACTTGGATTTTTATAACATCTTAACAAAAGGGAAAAGGACTGAGTTTCTAGGACAGCAAATTGTGGGCAAATACATAAATATAGAGAGAAACTAATGGAAGATCAGGGCTAGTTAGAGTTTGTTAGGTAGGTTCTTCTGATGCCATATCCAGTGATTAACTTCTGTGCTTCCAGAGAGAGGG